TACATTTTTTTTAAAAAAGAATTTAACTCTCACACATAAAATAAAAAAGAAAAAGAAAAAAGGTAAACGAAAAAAAATATAATATTCCCACTATTTAAAAAGGAAACCATTCCTTCTCAAAAAATTTCTCCCTACAAATTCTAGAGCCTAATTCACATTATTCCAGACAAATTAAAAAAAAAAAATTGTAAAAGAAAAACAAAAGTACATTTCTTGTTTAAAAATATTACTAATAGTATTTTAAAATTATGTGACAGTTCATTGTTCACAAAATTTCTTAACAGATATTTCTTAAATTATGTGATGGTTCTTTATTACAAGGTATGTCTTGTGAGTTACCCCAAATTTAAATAATTATTTCCGCGGTTACCAAGGTGAAGAAACACATCTATTTATATGAGATTACAATCTTGTTAAAACGATGCATTACTGCCTTATATAGCAATGGTGGTGAGAGAGTGCACGAGATGGGCATGACAATGACAAGCAAAGCAGCAATGTTTACTATAATGAATTTGGCATCCTCATTCTTCTTCCATTTTTCATATTTTAATTCCAACAATTTCTTATATATATATGCATATATATATATATACCAAGTTATTCATTTTTTATCAACTTAATAACATTTGTGCATTCTCACATATTAGTACTAAAATAAAATATCTCAGTTTTTTCTTTCTTTCTCTTTCGGTAGAAACAAGTAACCCTCCAATGCAAATTCTTCCTCCATGGCTTCTTAGGATATATGATTTAAATAATGCACACATATTCATATGTATCTCCAACCAATTTGTTCATATCGATAAAATTACTCTATTTAATTATATATAGACGTTTTGTTACCTGGAATAAAAAATTGAAAAAAATAAAATTTTATTTGTTGAAGGAAATTCTTGAGATATTTGGATATAAAGACATCAAGTACTCTGGCAGTAATATTGGGTAAGTTGACTCTCCAACTTTAGCAGTAATATTAGATAACCTTAAGCCAATTTTTACTTTCTTGTTTGCAATTATTTTCAAGTACTATGATTTATAGAGTAAATTAGTCAATTATAATTAATTGTCAAAAAAAAAAAAAGTAAGAAGAAATATTAAATACTAAAACTCTTTCAAGTAAGAAGAAATATTACTTATGGAGAAATATTGGCATGCAAGTGATTGGTGTTTGCATTTTTTAAGTAATGATCGAATTTGTGATAGTTATATGTTACATATTAAAATTTTTTAGAACTGAATAAATTAATTCTCCAATTTTCTTATAAGCCTTTAGGAAGTCAGGCTCCATTTAAGGTGAAATATAATCTTTTTTACATTGAATATGAATATAACAATTTAAATCTCTTGTTTTCTCTTAAGTGGATTATATTGTGATGGAATGGACTTTCCATAATTCTTTTCAAGAAAGAAAAAAAGAATACATAAGGTTTTGGCATTTTCGGTGGGGTGTCTTTTGTATTAAATTAAATTTTACATATTTATTTATTTATTTATTTTTTGTTGTAGGTTTCTACAATTTGGGGACTGAAATGATCAAGTATTAGAGCTTTTCTAAGATAATTGATGAGAAAATTTGTGAAGAATAAATTACCAAAGAAAATTTGTGAAGAATAAATTACCAAAGAAAATTTGGGAAGAATATGCAAGTTGTGATAACTATATTTTAGACTTATGATTGCAAGCCAAGAATAATTTATATATTCATAATTGTTGTTTTGTTTTTGAGATGTGAACTTATTTGTACAAATTAAAAAAAGAAATATTTAAAAGACAAGAAAAAAAAACAGAACAATTTCTGATGTGTTACAATATTACTATGTCTCTACAAATATATATAAAGTGGTTTATATGATAGCACATTATATCATATTTCATTTCTACACTTAAATTCTTCAACTTATTATTTTTTATAATTTTAAAATATTTTAAATGTAATTTTTTTTTGAAGGATTTTTTTTATCACATGCATTATGCACTTGCACTTTTACTAATTTATATAAACATGTAACTTTTTTTTTCTCTATAAGCATTCATACATATGTATTCAAATATAAAATCAAGGCATATGGCCTAACGGTATTTGCTCAATCTCATTTCAAAAAGAAAGGCAGAGATTTCAAGTTTTCCAAAAGTATTATGTGAGTTATTTGTGCTCGTTTATAGAAACATGAATGTCTTCTTCTTCTTCTTCTTTTATTTATTATTTTTTCAATACTAACTCAAACATGTAAACACCTGGTACAAATAAATTATTTTTGTGTTAATTGTGCATATATATCGAAGAAAGTAAATATTTAAATATATATATATATATATATATATATAATTTGTAATTGCAAATTATGTACCATTAATAAATATGTACCCATTTGTGTGAATAGACATTAAATTAGGTTTCTCTGTCTAATTTTATTGTTTCTACTTTTATCTTTTGTGCCCTCTCCGACTTTATAATTATGATAAATATGGAGTTGATTATTTATTAATTAAATTATTTAATCTCAAAATATAATTTTAAAAAACTTTAAGTGAATTATATATTTGTCTAATTATTCACACATATAAATTGATTGACAAAATTAAGACTTTTATTGAAGAGGATGACTTAACCCAAATAATTTTATTTGGGTTCAGATTTTACCCTAAATAAATTTTTTCATTTTTTTTATTGACGAGTGGGTTTAATTCCGTGATGATGTGACACTGATTTTTTCATTGATAATGGTTTGTTTGTGATATATCAGATAAAAGGGCCATTTGGAAGTGGTTGTTGATGGGGTTATCTGAAGATAAGCTTGGAGATTGTGTGGTGAGGTTTGACAGATATAATAGGAGTTAGTTATTTTTGTGTTTTTTTAATAAATAGTGGTAGAAGCTATCTTTGTAAAAAGAAGTTGTTTTTCTTTTTTTTTTTTTTTTTTTTTTTTTTTTTTTTTTTTTGTTCAATATCTTTGTAAAAAGTAGAGGATCTTGGAATTAGAGATCTCCCACAGTTGTTTATATATATTATTTATTTTTAGTCAGTTGTTTTTAAACTTTTTGTGTAAAATTATATTTTTCAATAATAATCAACCAGTGTCATGTCTGAATTTCACATTATTTTTACAAACATTATTTAATATAAGATTGATTCGTTAATGAAATGAAAAAGAGGGAGGAGAAAGGAAATATGATTATATGACTCTATAAAATGATTATGTAAAATACACAATAATTTTACACATTAATGACGATAAATTTTTTTTTACATTATTATATGTGTCTGTATATTTTATACAAAATAATATTTTACTGCTTTTCCGGTTCAATGCAATATATCTTTAATCATGTTTCCCGATAAGCTAGATTTCTTTAGTTTAGTTCACAATTCCCTATTTTAATTTAACTTTCTATACTCTTTCGTACAATTCCCAGTAGCTATAATTATTTCCTTCTCCAGTTTCCATTTCAATTCAGTTTGCAATTCGTTTCCACCTTTAAGTCCTTTTTCCATCTAAGGTCAAATAGAACCGTTAAGAAAGTTCAACGTTCTCTCTTTCTACAATAGCCTGGTCTATAATTTTAATAAAAGAAATTCAGTTTGACCAAAATCTCTACAAATCAAACCAAGTCATTTGTTTTCCTAACTTTCGCACTCAAATCTAACAAAACCAAACCAATGAAGGCGAATATGGTGAAATTAGTATTTGGGGTCGTCGGGAATATGATTTAGGGTTCTTTTAATTTAAATGTAAACCCACACATATAAGGATAAATTAATAAATAGGAAATATAAACTGGGTGGGGCAGGGCGCCTTTCCCGTCTTTCCTCTCTGTGCGGGTTTTTACTAAAAACTATTCCTGCCTAATTAAGTTATACAGTTTCTTGAAAATCGCAATAAACTGGGCGGGTACTTGCCCCGAGGGCAAATTGCCATTCTTACTTTCGATTGTAACTGAAAAAAAAAAAAGATAAAAAAAAGAAAGAAAGAATAAATTAAATTAAAGTTGTACAAATGGTAGTTATTACATTATAAATTAATAGATGATGCATTTTCTTTAAAAGAAAAAAGTAAATGAATTGCTATTGGTGCAAAGTGGAGTGCGTCATCGCCTCCCTTCCTTAAATTAGAGTATGTAAATACATGCCCATTATGTAAATACATGCCCAAAAAAATATAAAATAACTATGTAAATACCTGGAAAAAACAGAATGTGTACTAAAACGAAAATTGAAGAAATGACAACTTTTAACCCTATAACAGAGTACATTACAAAAAATTCATTGAAGTATTATTTTTTACAAAAGCAAGAAAACAACAAATAATGACAATTCTACTAATGAATTATTTAGTCCAATGGATAACCTCCTTAGGCAAAGGGGAGGGAAAATGTCTTTTATACACTGAAAGAGGATGGATTCAGTACAGGTGACTGGTGAGTAATATATGTTACTAAGCACTTGATAGAAAAAAAACAAAAAAAAAACGATTTCAATATTTGAGAAACAGAAAATTGCAACTAGTTTAAGCCACTAAAACATCTCATGTCTACCAGTCTCTCAAGTAATAACAAACTTAAATTTCTAAATGTTTCTTATATATTTTTTGATTACAAGTTATATTAGAATTCTAAAACCGTCAATGACATATCAAGAGAAAAATAGATTAAATTTTTTATATTACATTTTCATATCATTGCCCACGAGCCCGTGATTTTGGTGAAAAATTCACTATTTGGAGTCAAAATTTTGTCACAACTTGGCCAAGGTCGAAATAAAATTGGGACCATAATTTTATACCACACATAATGAAAAAAGAAAAAAAGAAAAAGACGTTAAAGGAAAAGAGAAAAGTTTAGATTAGATAGATCCTCAATTATTTACATTACTTATTAATTAATGGTATAAAATTCTCAATTATTTGTAGGAAATGTACTAAAAAAAAAAAAAAAAAAAAGAAAGGTATATTGATGTAGTGTTCCCCACACGTCCTCAAGTTGAGTGTCTGGTAGAGGGAGATTTATTAGTCCCGGCACTCCAGATTGACTGTCCACATGCTGCACGCTTTCTGAACCCTCAGAAAGCCCTGCCCTGTTCTGCTCCTCTTGTAGTTAACCACAAAAACTGCCAAAAACACAGCCCCCTCTCATCTCCTCTCTCTCTCTCTCTCTCTCTCTCACACACACACACACACACACACACACACAAATATACAAATATATATATTGTCGCTGTTTCTAGTTCATACATAACTCTCTGTTTTTTACCACTTTCTCTGCTACTAACTATTGCTTTCTTCTGCAAAACACACATACTCTCTCTCTAACTTCTCTGGCTTTATTTTCCTCTAATAAAATGACAACGATTAATATGCCGACGGGAATGTCGGTTTTGAAATCCGATACGGTGAGGGTCTACGATCGACTTTTATCGACGAAGAATCTGAGTGAGTTGTTCTCAGGATCACGAAGCCGTAAAAGATTCACTCGCAAGGAAATCGTATCCGTTAAGTCGATGAAGGTCACTGAGCAGAGCGAAATAGCCGATCTGCCGTCACAAAATGGACCTTTGATTTCCGTAAGTATTTCATATAACTTCTTTCAACTCTTGTTCTGAGGTTTCTTATATTATGTATATGCACATATATCAATGTGTGCAATGAGATTTAAGATTCTAAATAGAGTTTTGCTACTCTTTCTATATAGATATATACTATATACATGCTCATCTATACAGACTATACACTATATTTTGATATATGCTTGTGTGTGTGTATATATATGTATCAGTTTAGCCTTGAGGGCTGTGAAAAATTTGGGATTCCGCAGTTATTTGGAGTTGAATAGTTTGAAATTGTGGACTTATGAAAACATTTGGGTAATTTAGAATTTAGAGCAAGTATAAATTTAATTATTGATGTGAAGAAAATGAGAAAATTGTAATTTCACTGGGACCTTGGATTAATTGCAGAAATATTTATGTATATTTATATGGAGAAAAAAAATCCTCTTCAGTGCAAACTGGGGACGACTGAATCAGTCTAGCAGTGTATCCAGAGTACAGTGCATTGGAGAGAGTTTTGGTTTATTCATATGCTGGTAATTGGGTTTTTGTTGATTAGATCAAAATGGGGATACTACAAGACTTGTACAGATTTTCTTACTGTGCTTTTGTCTATCAATCTATTCAAGTACACTCTGTTCTGGTAGTGACACTTTAACTAATTAGTAACATTTAGTAACATTCCCAAACTCAGAATCTCTCTCTCTCTCTCTATATATATAAATAGACACAGTCTTTTTCTCTCTCTTTTACAATTCAATTGGATATTTGTTCTGATGTTAGGCAGTTTAAGTAATTTTCTTGTTATAGGAACGGTTAAATTTAGTGCTACACATTGATTAAGCACTTGCATTTCTTTATTTGTTGTTGATGGGCACTAATGTTGATAGGATTTAAAAAATTGAATTTTGGAGCATGAGAGAAGGTGTTCATGATGCTTTTAGCCTTTTACATACTTTCATTCTGTTGTTTGTAATGGTATCGGCTCATGCTTAGTAACCAATTTGGGATTCATAAAAAAACCTTGGAATTATAAACACATACACATACATGAAGTAACAAATTTAGTAGATATGTAGATATGAAACAGAAAATAGAGATGATCTAAGTTGCTTTTATCATGATCTGTGTTCATGTGTGCAGATTGCTCAATACAAACCACATGTTATCATAGAGACATAATACCATTGATTTGTATAAGGAAAGAGCCACAATCATGGAACTTGGTTATTTACTAAGCCGTGGACTAATGACAAAAATATTAAAGTTGAGTTGTTAGGTGTTATCTTTGTCAAAAAATGCTGCATGCTGGGAAATAGTCCTTGCTTTTATGATGAGGGATGCAATTAGAGTGATTTTGAAAGTGCAGCAGATTTTGTGTTCATGGAAGTTACTTGTATTGAACGCCTTAAATGTGGTGAAATGTTGATATATTATAAGTGTTTTACTGTAATTATGTGACAGGAAAACTGCCTGTCAGAATACTGCTTATTTTCTTCTTTCAGGAATAACTTTTTTTTTTTTTTTTTTTTGTTTCAAATTTTCTTTTAGAATATTGTTCTTATTTTACATGATTTAACCAAAAAATCTTCTATCTTTTAGGACAATTTTGAGCTTCAGACTAGTGATTACATGGGGGACCAAGCAAAGATAAATTCAAATGCTCCAAGAAAAACAAAGATAGTGTGTACGATTGGTCCTTCAACAAGCACACGCGAAATGATATGGAAGCTGGCAGAAACTGGAATGAATGTAGCACGTTTAAATATGTCACATGGGGACCATTCATCACACCAGAAAACCATTGATCTTGTTAAAGAATATAATGCCCAGTTTGAGGAAAAGGTTGTGGCCATAATGTTGGACACCAAGGTATGTTGGTTATTGATGGAAGTTCTCTAGTTTTCCCTTTTCTCTACAATGATTACTTTGAGTGACATAAAATTGGCATTATACGTATGCTAGCCACTTTGGATAAGATCACATCTAACAGTTAAAACTTGCTTATATGAATTCCTTTCCTGTTTGAGATGTATAAGCCACCATGGTCCTTGATTTATGTTAACGTGAAAGTTGGGCTTTACATGGTGTGTGTGTGTGTGTGAAAGAGGCAATTTGAAACTTAAAATAGATGATTAGTGTATGTGTATTTCATATATTTCGAATGATTTTATTGATTGCCAAAAGGAATATTTATTGATTTTTTGGAGAACCAATAGGCCTTTTTTAAATGTAGGGAGAAAACCATTGATATTTAGAAATTTCAAAATTCATGATATCCGTCTTCTTTTGAAGGTTATTTGCTATTTTTTTTTCCTGCTAGCAATTGTAAATGTAGTTTCTGTATCTAGTTTTTTTCTCAAAAATGCGAGGCTGAGTTGTTTATTGTTCGGTTACACACTTACAGCATATGTTGTTTCTGTATCTAGTTTTTTCTCTCGAAAATGAGGCAAGTTGTTTACCATTCTGTTACAGTTCCACCTCCCCCCGGGGTGGTAAATTTTGTTACAGGCTTACAGTTAGCAGTTAATGTACTATGTACTTAAGTTTATTAGGTGGACAACTGAGGCTTTAATGAGTCATTAATTGGAGGTGCTATGTCCAAAGTTGCTACAATTTAGTTTCCATTGGCATTGGTTTTTGTTCTTTACAAATGCATTTACTTGCTAAGCAAGAAGTACATTCAAGTTTGCCATTTCTTGAATTCATTCACTCCAATATCTTATTCCAAATTTACTTATCAAAAAAAAAAAAAAATTTTATTCCAAATTTCTCTTCATTCATTTATTTCTTAAATCTTCACTGGAAATGTAATTAGTGTATTGTATTCTTCTTCATACAGGGTCCTGAGGTTAGAAGTGGAGATGTACCAAAACCAATCTTGCTCAAGGAGGGGCAGGAGTTCAGTTTCACTATTAAAAGGGGAGTCAGCACAGAAAATACTGTTAGTGTGAATTATGATGATTTTGTAAATGATGTGGAGGTTGGGGACATCCTACTGGTTGATGGTAAGTTTGCATGCTTTTCTGTGGTACTTGACTGGTGCAAGATTAAACTCATACCTGGATTCTTGTCTATCCTGACAAATAAAAATTTAGTTATTTAAGAACCGTTGAATTTAACAAGTAGAGATAAGTTTTCAATTGATCACATTAATTAATTGATGATATAAATTATCTTAAACATGTGTACAGTTTCCTAAGTTGTTGATTTTCATGACCCCAGATTAATTTTTGGTTTACAGTTATTACCTCTCTTTGTTCACTGGATTATTTAGTCATTTGTCAACTTTACGAGAACTGAGAACTGAGTATACTAAAGAACTGTATGAGCTTGCTCGTTGCTGGCAGCTATTGTGTGACTCGTTGTAACCATATTGGAGGACTGTTGTGTTGGTTTGAAGCTTGATTGGCTTAGATTCAAAAATTGTTTTACTGCCTTCCTGGATTCCCTCCTTGAATATGTGAACTTCTGTCATCTATTGAATCAAAGTTTGCTATCCCTGTACTTTACTACTTTGGTTTAAGTATTTTGGTACAGCCTATTATATCTTTTGCAATTTGAGGTTCATGTTATATATTTGATTTTGATTCTTTGGTTCAATAACCTGGTTGCTTTTTTCATTATTACCGTCACACTTTCCTCCTATGAATTCTCAAGAATCATAGGTCTCATTTTATAGAGGAAGTTTTTTCCTATAAACCTTCTAACTTCAAAGAAGGGGAGAATTCGAGAAAGTCCAAATTTCTCAAGTCTGCTTACTTGAAAGTCAGAGTTAATGAGTCTGATTTTGTACTAGGTGGAATGATGTCATTAGTTGTGAAATCAAAGACAAAGGATACAGTTAAATGTCAAGTAATTGATGGCGGAGAACTGAAATCAAGACGGCATTTAAATGTGCGTGGGAAGAGTGCAACTCTGCCTTCGATAACAGGTTTATTTAATTTTATGTTGCAATACTGTTAATATGAGATCTTTCTTTTTGATTATTCTGCATTTGTAGTAGTAACTATTAGTAGAGTATATTACTTATCAGAAAAACCTTTTAGTAGAGTATATTACTTGATTTTCGCCTACTGCTTGTATGATTTCTACAGATAAAGACTGGGAAGATATCAAGTTTGGGGTGGATAACAAAGTTGATTTCTATGCTGTTTCTTTTGTGAAGGATGCTAAAGTCGTTCATGAGTTGAAGGATTATCTTAAGAGTAAAGATGTTGCTCCATCTTCACATGCTTATTGATACATAACTTTTATCAGATATTTCACTGTTCTATTTATCAATTTTTTACAATCTTTTACAAACCTCTTCTGCAGGCTGCAATGCAGATATTCATGTGATTGTAAAAATTGAAAGTGCGGACTCCATACCAAATCTTCATTCCATAATTTCTGCATCTGATGGGGTTAGTTTTGATATTCAATGATTACCTTATAAACTGTTCTGTATGTTAACTTTCCAGGATGGGGTTTATTCTATAATTTTTAGTTAAAAACAAATTAGCAGTTAACTTTCGAATTGTTAGTATTTCTTATATTTTGAGTTGTTTATGCTACTTTTTGATAGTCAATTGAAGTTCCATATTTTTCCCTGATGGGGAAATTTGTTAGAAAAACATTAGACTTGAGGGAGATAATTTTTTTAGCATAAATTTTTGGATAAAGAAAGGCATACAGGTCCTTTACAGCACAAAATTCTAAAGAAGAATTCAATGAATGTTTTTTTTTGATAAGTGAATTCAATGAATGTGCTTGCCTTCACTTGCCCAAAGGAAAAAGAAAAGAAAAGAAAAGAAAAGAAAAGAAAAGAAAAGAAAGAAAGCGCATGTTAAGACTGATATGAGAAAGGGTATCTGGCCTCATCAACCTCCAACGACCACTGCTCAGATGCTAAACTATTAAGACTTATTAATGGAAAAAATCCATTGACGAATCTTAGGTTGTGCATATTTAATTCAAAGCACACTAACAAGAAAACGAGCACATAGGAAATTTCATATGAAGCTCACTTTTGACATCTTCTAATTACATTTTGGTTTGATTTGAGCCTTAGTTTTTGTTTATTTTGGGTTAACATACTGTTGATTCAACTTTATACATATTTTGTTTTGTCATAGGAATCGATCGTCTCTTAAGCATGGGTAGTAGTAGTGGCCCATGGTCTTATTTTAGGGTCCAGTCGTGTTCTAGGTCCTTTTTAAGTGGTCTAGGAGGTCAATAAAGTTATAGCTAGTAATTTGTTTTGAGTATTCTATTTGAAGTCCTGATCCTAATAAAAGTAGATGAAGTTCAAAAATCTCTCTCTGCGCATGTGTGTTTGTGTGTGATCTTTCAATTTTCAGTAGATATGAGTTCTGAGAAATTGGAAGAAGCATTTGAAGCTTCTTGTAATATGTTATGCAACCTAATCTTAGGGAGATGAAGCCAAAGGAACTCTAAGTCTGATACGTCTACTTCTTCTTCTTATTGTTCAGTTCAATACATGTTTCTTGTCTAGAAAATAAAACACTCTTTTGCTGAAATTTCCTGCTACCCATCACTTTAGAATCAAGTCAAAGTTAAACTTTTCCTTCTACAACAGTACAACCTTCCTTTGGTTTTTTGAAACTATAAACCCACATCGTTTCCTCCATTGAAGCCCGCCATAAATTTAACCACAGCAACAATCTGAGTTTCTAGTGTGGTCCTACAACGACATATCATATTCTTTCCATTTCTGTTGTTGTTGTTTTTGTTGAATTTTCCATCATTTTATCTAATGAAAGAATCACGTAGTATCTAGTATTCCCTGCAATTTCCTGCCTGCTTTAGCTGACTGGTTGGAGATTGTTACTCCTAATTGTCTGGGATGCATTACAGACACAATTTTGGCTATCCAATTGATATCTGTCGCAATGAGCTCTATGGCTGGTTGGACATCATTAAAGATGGTAAACAGACCTCGTAAATCATATTTCAGTTATAGATCGTGCTTTGTGGACTCCTGTATAGTAGGAAGCACAGATACGGACATAGGACAAGGGGATACAGCAAATCTCGAAAAAATAGTACACGGATACGTTAGAAAATAATAATATAATATATTATTATATATATATATATAAATAATTTTTGCTCATTTTATCCATATAATCATGAAAGAAATCACTAATTTGGAGCTTTCAGCTAGATTCTTGTTATATTTGTTTTCAAAATTTTTATATTATTTTTCTAATCAACCCATAATGTATTTTAACTTGCTTTGTATCCCATTCTTCTAAGAAAAATAACTACAAAACCACCCCGTCGTGTCTGAAAGTGTCCCAAACGTGTCCCTGTTGTGTCCAAGAAAATAAAATATTCAAATTGCAGGACACTTCTAGCCGCGTCCAACACGTGTTTGGGTTGTGTCCCATGTGTGTCGGATACAGCCATGCCACCCCTAGAAGAAGTGTCCGTGCTTCCTTGCCTGTAAGGTGTAATACTGAAGGTTATTTTTTATTTATTTATTTATTCTTTCTTCTTGTTCTCTGTCTGTCTCTGAAAAGCCTTTATAACCAAAAATCAGGCATTGTTAACTCCTTTTTTCACCATTAAATTTTTTTTTTTTTATCAAAAGGCCAACCCATTACCCACTTCATACACTCTGCATTCACTGGAAACTACAGAACTAGAAATAACTGTTAAGTTGTCAATTCTGTAAGAACAGTCTTCCAAACCTTGTTCTTTTTATGTGATGGAGTGCAATAATACACCTTTTCATTTATTAGGCTGATTTATAAGGTCAAAATATTTGCTGTAGGTAACAATAAGATTATCTGGTAGCAATTTTTTTTTTTTTTTCCCTTTCCTTTTGGTACTTTATCAGGCGGAGGGGGTGATAGTTTACAATGTTTTAGTTATTCTTAAAACTGTTAATGATCTTAATGTTTTTTTTTTTTTTTTTTTTGATAAGTTGTTAATGATCTTAATGTTAAGATGGCATCTAAAGTTCATTCCTATAATTGCTGATAGGCAATGGTGGCTCGTGGAGATCTTGGAGCTGAACTTCCTATTGAAGACGTACCTTTATTGCAGGTAAATTGATGACAATAATGCACATTCCTGCTATTTCTTGTCTCTTACTTTTACATGTATAATTTGTCGATGAAGGTTTTTTAGAAGACAAATGGCTCCTACATTGACAAGAATGGTTTTACATGTATCATGCCCCAATGTTTTTGTTTCTTTCTTGCCCCGCCCAATTTGTTAATATATATATATATATTTTGGGGAGGGTGACAGGTTGTCCCCAGTCATTGTACTAACTGATTTTAACCCACCACATTAACATCAGACTAATTTTCCGTGGTGTTCGAGGCAGCTTTGCCCAAAACGAAATTATATTTCTTAGTTGCAAGAATTGCAAACAGAATTTGAAGGCAGGATAACTTCCTTATTATTAGAATTTAAAATTAGGACACACTCTCAAGGTGAGAACAACAGTACACTTTGTAGTAATTTCTTCCTTTACACCCCCTCTTGTGGGCCCTTTTCACGTCTTTGACGAAGCCACTTGAACATTTTTTTTAGATCACGAAAACAGTGAAGTCCAAGTGAAAGCGTAAACATCCACTACCATCTTTTTTAAGGATTTGAACAGTGACTTGAAATCGTATATTGTAGTCGTATAATGTCAGTATCACCAAGGAGTTTGTCTTTACCTTTGCTAGAAGCTGTTCTTCAGATTGTGTTTAGCTCTACCTTCATTAGAAACTATTCTTCCTTTTGAATCGCAAATAGTTGTAGAATAAGTTGAAAGTACCATTTTTAGTTCTAAGATTCCTTTCTTGAATTATGAAATGTTACTCTTGAGATGGTACTTGTAGGGTTATGGTACAGTAGAATCTAATATTTCACACTCTTCACCACCCACCCCAAGATGATACTTCTTGTGGTTTCTTTAAAGTTATTTAGTAGTAAAAACTGCTAAAATGTTTTGACTAGTAGATTTTATTTAAATTGTTCCTACTTGAAGTTATTGATTGGGATAATGTTTTAGTTACGTTGAACAATAGAAAAAGGTGATGGACCAGTACAAGAAGACAGATGGATTTAGGTTGACATAGGGTATAAAGAAACCAACTTTGAAAGTTCGTAGGACTGGAGCTAGAGAGTCGTGCATGGCCCATGATGTAGACCTTGGGGGGGGGGGGGGGGGGGGGGGGGGGGGTGTGAATAGGTCTTGTTAAATTTAACTACTTTTTGAATTTAAACAAACTTTTAATAGAAATTTAGATTAAAGCATAATGGAAAAACTAAAGTCTACTCAATCCATCATCCAAGTGTGTAAAGAACAACTAAAGCAATAAAACAATGGACATTTTTACGTGGAAAATCCAACTAGAAAAAACCACATGACCTAGTCTAGACAAACTGAACCACTATGTGAAAGAGATTATAACTAGGTTAACAGTTTCCAAAACCCTAGAAACCCCTAGTTACCACCTAACATAGATCAATCCATCAAACCGCTTGACCACAGACTTTGCTCCTCACGTGTCTGCTTCTTGCACTAGTGATCAGTTTAGCCACCAGTCGACCATGTCAAACTCGGAACAGTATATTGATTATGGTGTTGTCTTCGGATGAAGTTCGCACTGATAAATGTCATTACACAATGAAAACACTCACCATTACTAAGAATGATGAATGATATATATATTTTTTTGATGCACTCTAGAACTCACAATTATGCTCTTTCTGAATGTAGATGAGTTGTCTTCAATTTCTTTTTATAGGCAAAGTAGAGCTATGTAGAGAGTAGGGTTAGTGTTTTCAATCAAAAAGGAAAATGGATTTCAGCATGGTTGTATCAATTGAGGTGTTGGTCAATCAATCAACTCAATTCCAGTGGCCCTTGATCAGTAGCTCGATTGAAGTCTGCTGCACTTTTTGTACTCAGAAAATTTTATAACGGGAAGTTTCCAGAAACACTTCTTTGCATTATTTTAAAATATTTTGGTAATTAAAATCAGATTAAATCATGTAATAATTAGAAACGCTAATGCATGTATGCATGAACACTAGTTTGGTGAGTATATTCTCGTGTCAAATTGACTTTTTACCCTTGGTGTAGAAAACTATCTTACCCTTGTGTCTTTAAATTACTCCTTCAAAAATGAGTAAGAGGTAACAACTAACACTTAAATAACTTTTGAAAATTTCAATCGTAGCAAGAAATTGCAATTGCAAAACATGTTACACATTCCAGTTTTATTCAATGAAATTTGCCATCCTAGGTCCTATTGACCTAACAAGCTTAATCTTTGTTTCTGTTTTTGTGCTGGTATTCTTTAGGTGTTGGATCATCAGACATTTTTGTCAGATGCATGTCAAACAACACATTTCAAACACATTTAATATCATCCCATGACCTATGGTGCCTGACACGAAGAGGTTATGTAGTTGATGGCTTGCTGCTTCATCAGAATGACTGTAAAGAAAAAAGTTAGAAGTTAATTTAATTGGAGCCAGATATGAAATTTCTAATGATGATAAATTAGAGATGCATTTTCTTGCTAGCAAACAATATGAAGTTGATATATATAGTGATGAATTTACTTTCATGTTTGAAGTGATTAAATTAATACTTAAAAATAGGATAAAATTTTGAAGACATGTGGTAACCTTTGGAAACTAATGTAAAATCTTCTAGATGCAAGGTAAGATTAATGATTCTATTGGAGCCAAATGCACCCATATGGTAGGAAGATAATATAGAACCATAGAGAATGGACTGATGTACAAACACTTCTTTTGACATTGACCAAAATTTTCCGTCTGTCAGAAAGCTATGTAAATGAATGTTTTATCATGTTACTCTTTCACCAACTCACTAGAGTGGTTATATGATTTGTGTGTAATTACAAGCAGATGTCATACAGAAACTTGAGTCTATAATTAACTTTTACTGTGGCAGGGTGTAATGTAAATGGTGTATCGATTTGGTTTATAAAATTTATCAACAATTTTATGCATTTAAGTGAAAAAGAAAGAAAAAGTATATTAGAGGAAATGCTTGCTCCTCGATTGCTGATTTTTTTGACCTTTTGGATTCTATTGGTACTTAGGTTTTTTGTGTATTAGGGACGTGTTCCCCTTTTGAACGCTTTTCTAATATATTTTACTTATCAAAAAAAAAAAAAAAAAGTGAAAAAGAAAAAGAGTCTGGCAGGCCCAATAGTGGTATTATAATTGAAGAAAATTTTCACCCTGAATATCAATTTACTTTTAACTTTCAATACTGAAATAGGTTATTTGTGTATATATTTCTATCTGAGCATCAGTAGATTTATCTTATTGGTGTCTTCATATGTGCATGTGTATGCATATATGGGTGAATTTATTTGTCTGCCTGGTTAAACTTACCAATATATATATATATATATATATTGTTATAAAAAATGTGGGTCCTTTTCCTGTTTAACATTGGATTTTATAATATAATATGGTAACTCATAATTCAGAAATCAGAACATCATATATATTCTTTGTAAAATTTAAACTCTAGTAAGCAATTTTTCCAGGAATCATCCTTAATGTGATTGCTAAGCTGAAATGGTTGGTACATAAATATCAGTAAAGCATGAATTCTGTGTTTGGTGGTTTCAGTTTTAATTGTTCCTATTGATTTTGATTGTATCCTTAAAACATTTTGGCTTCATTAGAAGTAGAATTTTATAACTATTTTCAAACTGTGGGAGCGAGGCTTAAAAGTAGCTGAAAAGGTTGAATTTGGTGTTAAAGATTATTGAAAATGTCACTAAAATTTAGAGAAGTAACATTTGGAATTAGAGTTAGTTACTTGAACCAAATAATACTTTAAAAATAAATAGGATTATCAGTTCTTGAAGGGGCTTTGTGTTGATAAATCGAGAATATGTTTCTAATTGAATCTTAATTACTTTTTATCTATCCAGTAAAAATGCTCTTAGTTACTTGAATAGTATGTTAAGAGGGCTGCATTTTGGTCATAATTAGTGGGTCATATTAGTGTAGAAGAAATACTTTCAGTGCCTGACGTTTGCCTCATTTATTCTCAAGACGGCCAAATTAAAACCTTATTCTGCTATTTGCTTGTCAGGCAAAATCAGGAAGAGAATTAAATGAATGCGATGTTATTTTGTAAACAGGAAGATATAATTAGAAGGTGTCACAATATGGAGAAGCCGGTGATTGTGGCAACAAACATGCTTGAAAGCATGATTAATCATCCGACCCCAACAAGGGCAGAAGTTTCTGATATTGCAATTGCGGTACGGGAAGGGGCTGATGCAGTCATGCTTTCTGGAGAAACTGCCCACGGGAAGTAAGTTACCTCAGTTCCCATGTTGTAGCATTAGTGCTAATTTCACGTTTATCATTATTGCAGTTACAATTCTTCTTTGCTTTGATTAAAACTCTTCTATGGAAACGTTGTCATACTGACTTGTTGATAGGTTAGTAATGGCCATTAATTAGACACTTCATACTGGTTACTGTTGGTTAGGATGTCAGAGAAAAGTCCTTTCTTTTTCCTCCTCAAAACCAGCCTAATGCCCATGCACTGTATGCAAATCCCAAAAGAAGTATCAGTGTCTCCTTCGTTTAATACATATATCCATTTTCTTCTTCCATTTCTATGCTAAAACCAACACCAGCTTTAATATTACTGGGCAATGGAAATAATCTTATTGCCTGCACACGTAGAATATGTATTTTTATATATAGGGTCAAAATCAACTTTCACTTGGTGAAAGTATTTTTTTTCTATCTCTATAACTTCTTCTAGAAATTTTCTTTTGCTTCCGAGATATCTTGTTGAGTATTCACCTAGTAAATATATCCGATATCACAATAATTCCATAAAGTACTATTGAATTGCATTATTGTTAGTATCAATTCCATTGATGGGATCTAGGACTCAAATTGCAGATTGGGCCTCGCGTGCCTGGAAAGTGTCTCCGGCTGTGTTGTGTCACCTCTGCCGGACTCTTTACTCCTCTTCCGTTTTCCTTCTTTGGCGGTAGCAGAGAGAGTGCTTAAGGAGGGGTGTCGTGTCTGGGGAAGGCCACTCTTTCCGTGGACTCATGGAATTTCAGGGTGGGATGCTCTGAGATTTTGAAAGAGCAAGGGTTGAAGAAGGTGACATTGTAAGGCCTCCCTTTGGAGCCACGCTCTTTTTGTGATATGATTGGAGATTTGTGTGGAGGGTTCATTTGGGTGGATGCTGATGAGTCCCTTGACGTTGAGAAGGTGCGGATCACTGTGACTGACAGACGTGCTTGCCCGTCGTTCATCTTTGTTCATGATGACTGTTTTTGCTATTAGGTGTCTGCTTGGGAGGAAACGCCTCCTCAACTCGTTCTGATGACTGACAGCTTGGAGAGAGAGAGAGAGAGCGAGGGGGGGGGGGGGGGGGGGGAATGGATCTCACTTGCTGAAGGAGGTGGAGTGGTTGAGATGGGTTTCTATGGGTGAGAAGGGGATGGCTGATTTCCGACGACGGAAGGAATGGAGAGATAAGCTCTGGGATGGTAACACAGTGTGTTTTAGACGAATTTTCACTCAGAGAAGGCGAGAAAGGTCTTCTTCTTCGTCGGTTGGTGGCCGGAATGTTCAGAGGGGCGGTGGCTTGGTTTTGGCCGTCGGTTGCAGAGATGGGATAGGAGCCTCATTCAAAATCACATGCAAGGCCAATAACAGACAAGTTGGCATTAAGTGTTGGTGGGCTTGCTATTGGGCCAGCGAAAGGGGATTTGGCTAATCTGGCTCGTGTTCCTTGTGGACCGGTCTCTGGGCCTCTTCTTAATGATGTGTCTGAACCGGTGGGTTGTGGTCTGGATAAAGGCAAGGCAGCCCATTTTAATGTTTTTGAATGCAAGGAAGGTCACTCTGTTGGGTTGGGCTGTGGGTTTGAGGTTGGGCCGGGTTCTCAGCTCGATTTTTCTGGGCGTGTTTGTTCTAGTCTTGAAGTGGTTAACCGTTTTGGACCACTGGCTGCATCCGTTGATGGTCCATCGCCAAGCCGTCTGGTTCATCTCGTTACTGTTGGACGATGAGCTAGGAAGCCACTGCAGGGACACCGTTTGAAGTCGAAGAAGCGGTTTCTTCTTTCTTCCTTTTGACGAAGATGGACTCGGAAGGAAAAGCAGAAGTGGGTTCCATGTGCAGTTCTTGATCTGGGTAAGTCTGGTTCTCTTCATAACTTCTCTTCTGTTGCTCTGTCATCTGCTCCCCCCTCTCCTTCTTCGGTTGTGGTGAGAAAGTCCTTGAAGAGATCGATTTCTGTGTCCAAAAACCTTTCCTCGGTTTGTGAGGATGGGTTGGTGAATGGGTGGGGTGATTTGCTTGGGGGTTGTCAGGTTGATGGGTTGGGCCACTCTCATTCTGTTGAGTGCAAGGGAGAGAGTGTCACTATTTGTGTGGGACGTGATGTGAAGATTGCTCTGGATAATGATACTGCTGTTGTGCTTTTGAATGAATTATGGGCTCATCTTACTTTGAAAAGTTTTCAAAATGAGCAGAGTGGTCACTTGGCTGATGAGGTGTTTGGGACTCCGCAGTCTAGCTGCTCTCCATCCTTATCGGCTGTTGGGGGGTGGGGAGGATGGGTCGTGCTCCTCCTTAAATGAGGATATGGGTATGGTGATGTGGAACGGATATGACTCTGATTTGGAGTTGCTTACCCCTTTGGCTGTTGTTAGACCGGAAGGGGATGTTGCGGATGGGAATGGTTTTGTTGCAGGTATGGCTGACTTGGAAGATGATTGGGTGAGGGAAAAGGGTGTTGGGTGGGTTCCCTTTTGGGAGTTTCTTTTGAGGTTCGGATGGAAGAGGCGATAAGTTTATTTCTTGATGTTCTCAATTCTCAGTTTGTTGAAAGAATGGGAAGCAGGGGGAGTTTCCAGTGGAGAGGGAGGAGAGGGGGGTTGTGAGCCCCTCGACTTTTGTTACTTATGAAAGGAGGAATAGGGGGTCCAGGAAGAGGGGTAGTGGAAGGAGGGGAGAGACTGTTATTTCTACTGTTTCCCTATGAAGCTACAAATTCTTTCATGGAATGTCCGGGGACTCAATGACCCGGCTAGAAGAAAAGTGGTGAAATCGATGATTCGGAAAGGGGATGGGCATGTTGTGTGTCTGCAAAAAACCAAGATTGTCTCGATGACGGATGGGATTGTTAGAAGCTTGTGGGGAGGGAGATTTGTGGAGTAGTTTGTTTTGGATGCGATTGGTTCTTCGGGTGGTATTCTGATTATATGGGATAACCGGTGGGTCTCTTTGCTGGATTCTCAGGTTGGGCTTTTCTTGGCTTCCTGTGTTCTCTCTTTGGCGGAGGATGGTTTTTGTTGGTTTTTTTCTGGTGTATATGGTCCTTCAGAGGATAATGTTTGTCATTTGCTTTGGGAGGAGTTTTGGGAGATTCGTAGGAGATGGTCATTGCCTTGGTGTATTAGTGGGGATTTCAATGTTGTGCGCTCTCCTTTTGAGAGGTCGTCAGGGGGCAGGTGGATGGTTGACATGGTGTCTTTCTCAAAATTCATTGATGCTCATGATTTGTTTGATTTGCCTTTGGTGGGTGGGCCGTTCACTTGGTCCAGTGGTCGCTCTCCTCCCGCTCTCTCGTTTTGACAGATTCCTTTTGTCAAGTGATTGGGAGGAGAAGTTTTCTGATGTTGTTCAGGCCACTTTGGCTCGCCTTTTGTCTGACCATGTTCCGTTGATGTTGGATTGTGGTGGGCTGCGTAACAGAAGGTCCCCTTTCAGATTTAAGAATATGTGGCTTCGGGCTGAGGGTTTTCTGGAGCGAGTCTGATCCTGGTGGGTGGGGTATGGAGTGGTTGGTACCCCTAGTCATTCTCTTGCAGGCAAGTTGCGTCTTCTGAAGAATGATCTTAAAGTTTGGAACAAAGAGGTTTTCGGGAATCTAACTTGGAGGAAGAATCGGGTTCTTTCTGAGATTGCTGATATCGATAGGATGGAGGGTCAGGGCCTTTTGCCGGTTCCCTTGAAGCTTAGGAGGGTGGAGTGTTAGGCAGAGTTTGCTGAGATAACTGTCATGGAGGAGATTTCGTGGAGGCAAAAGTCTAGAGCTTTGTGGCTCAAGGAAGGCGACAATAATACAAATTTTTTTCATAGACTTGCCAATGCTCACAGAATGGGCAATCACATTGGGAGGATTCGGGTGGATGGGGAGATTTTTTGTGAGGAGGAGGAGATATGTAAGGGTTTTGCTGATTACTTTTCGAAGTTGTTTACTGAACCAGCTGGTTGGCGTCCTTTGCTTGCAGGGCTTCACTTTGACTCTATTTCGAGTGAGGAGTGCTATGTTTTGGAAGAGCCTTTTTCGGAGGAGGAAGTTTTGTCTGCTTTGAATAGTTGTAATGGGGATAAAGCCCCAGGTCCAGATGGATTTTCTATGAGATTCCTTTTAGAGTGCTGGGAGGTTGTTCGTGAGGAGGTGATGGGCTCTTTTCACGCCTTCTATGATCTGGGCTCTTTTGAGAAAAGCTTGAATGCCACTTTTATTGCTCTTATTCCAAAGAAGGGAGGGGCGATGGATGTTAGGGATTTTTGCCCTATTAGTCTGGTGGGTTGTTTTTATAAGTTGATTGCTAAAGTCTTAGCCTCTAGGTTAAGGAAGGTTATGGATGACGTCATTTCTGACTCTTAGAATGCCTTTGTGGGAGGTCATCAGATTTTGGATTCCGTTCTTATTGCTAGTGAATGTGTGGACTCCCGTTTGAGTTGTGGGGTTCCGGGCGTTTTATGCAAGCTGGATATCGAGAAGGCTTACGACCATGTGAGTTGGAGCTTCCTCATCTACTTATTGGAGAGGATGGAGTTTGGTGAGCGTTGGAGGAGATGGATTCTTTTTTGCATTGCTAGTGCTCGGTTCTCTGTTCTTGTCAATGGAGCCCCGACGGGTTTTTTCTCTTGTTCGAGAGGCTTGAGACAAGGTGATCCGCTTTCCCCTTTCTTGTTCCTTTTTGTGATGGAGGCTCTCAGCAGATTGATAAAGAGTGCCGTGGAGTTGGGTTTTTTGAGAGGTTTTCGGGTGGGCAGAGATGTTGCTAGTCAACTGGAGATTTCCCATTTGATATTTGCGGATGACACTTTAGTGCTTTGTGATGCTGATGCGTCCCAACTGAGATATTTGAGATCTGTGCTGATTTGGTTCCAAGTTGTCTCTGGTCTTAAGGTCAATGTTGGTAAAAGCGTTCTTATGCCTGTTAGGGATGTTCCTGAGATCGAGATGTTTGCTCAGATTCTTGGATGTCGCATTGGCTCTTTTCCCATTTCTTACTTGGGGTTGCCTTTGGGAGCCCTTCGAGATGTGTAGGGAGTTGGGATCCGGTTGTGGATAGATTCGAGAGGAGGTTGGCGGGTTGGAAAAAGCAGTACCTCTCTAAGGGGGGTAGGGTCACTCTGATTAAGAGTACCCTTTCTAGCCTCCCCACTTATTTCATCTCTCTCTTTCAGATTCCTTCTTCAGTGGCTGAGAGAATTGAGAGACTTCAGTGCAACTTTTTTTTTTTTTTTTTGTGTGTGGGGGGGGGGGGGGGGGGGGGAGTATCATGTGTGTCGTCCAATTCGGTGTGGAGGCTTGAGGATTAGGAGATTGTTGCTTTTCAATAAGGCTCTCCTTGGGAAATGGCTTTGGAGGTTTGGGATTGAGAGGTATTGGCTTTGGAGGAGAGTTATTGCAAGCAAGTTTGGGGAGAGCAGAGGTGTGTGGTCCTAGGGGGGTGGGGGTTTGGTCTTTCATTCGGAGGGGGTGGGATGTTTTCTGCAAGCATTTTTGTTTTCGGATCAAGGATGGCAGGAGGGTCAGTTTTTGGGAGGATCTTTGGTGTGGGGAGTCTCCCCTTGCCTTCGCTTTCCCTCGGCTCTATAGGATTGCTTCCGTGGTTGACTGTTATCACCTTGATAACGGGAGACTGACTTGGGATGTTCAGTTTAGGAGGCACTTTCAGGACTGGGAGATTGAGGAGGTTACTCGTTTTTTGAAGGTCCTGTATCGCCAGGTGATCTTAGTTGGGGATTCGGATTGTTGGCTTTGGGTCTCTAATTCTTAGGGTCGCTTCGACTTTAGGTCCTTTTTTAAGTGCCTTTCGGTCGGCACCGGAGGCCTTTTCCCCTGGAAGTCTATTTGGCGCTTTAAGGCTCCCCTTAAGGTAGCCTTCTTTGCCTAGACTTCTGTCCTGGGTAAGATTTTAACCCAGGATAATTTGAGGAGGAGGAATCAGGTGGTGATTAATCGTTGTTATTTGTGCTTGTGTGGTGAGGAGACCGTTGATCACCTTCTTTTACATTATAGCATGGCCAGAGACTGTTGGGATTCGATGCTTGGATTATTTAGGGTCCATTGGGTTATGCCTTGTTCCTCCAAATGGTTGATTGAGGCTTGGAGAGGTGTCTCTGTTGGGGCTCTCATTCAGGATGCTTGGAGGGCTACGCCCCTTTGTATTTGGTGTTGCATTTGGCTCGAGAGAAATCGATATTTTAAGGGAAAGGAGAAACCTATTTCTATGCTTAAGTTCTCTATTATTTCCACTCTTTTTTGTTTGGTCTCAGGGAGAGATTTTAGATTTATTGAGGAGATTTTTGTTTTTTTGGCCTCTTTAAAGGTTTGAGGCGCCTTTTGGCCCTTGGGTTTCTTTGGGTTCCGCTCCCCTTTTGAGTGTTTTCAATAAAATCTTACTTATCAAAAAAAAAAAAAAATGATTAGTCTTTGATTTTATTTTTAGGAGTAGGTTTATTATCAATTATTATTAAATGTTAAAATGAAATGGAGAAGAGCTATATGAAAATTGACTTCTAAGTTTTCAATTAGCCAATATTATTACTAATACTGTGCCAGTTTCATTCTTTTCTATTACAAGGCATGTCTCCTATTGTATTTATTTTTTAAAAATAATTTATATTTACTTGATCCCATGGTTGTTTTGGTCGGCTTCTTTATCTCTAACCTTTTATACAAACAAATGTTCTTCTTACTGGTGGATATCTATGGGTCTTCATTGTATATGTCCATACCACCTAAGTATGTTTTCTCTTATTTTATCACTAATAGGTGCCGATTTTTGTTTTTTCTCACCCATTGATTATTAATCTCATCTCCTCTAGGCACCCTTATCATCCATCCTAAAATTCTCATTTCAGTTACATGAATGCATTATCTTTAAAGAATGAGGCAGCCATAGTAAAACCTATATTAGGCCGATATAAAACTATGAACATGAATCATGAAAATATTTGAGTCAATATTAGGGTGTTATCATTAAAGAATGTGTTGAATCAACTTTGAGGTACTCAGTTGAAAAGAGGATTTTGCAGTTGTATTCGGATGGAGTGAGAAGGAGATAAGAGTTTCTTTGCTATTTTGGATTAGTGCAAGTAAATAATTCAAGATAGCATGCTTAAAGTAACGACTTGGTATTCAATTACATAGATGGATAAAGTGACGGAGTTGGTGGACGGTATAGATAAATGGATGGTTGATAAGTTTGGAAGTGCTACGTGGAGGTGAAGGTAATTATCGCTTTATGTATTAGTATATTGGATTCTCGCAGGATTATGAGCCATAGCCCTAAGGGCAGGTACTCATAGAGACTTGCAATGAAAGACAAATCTCTTTTAGAAGTACGCCCTTTTAAAATAGTGTGTTGGATTAGGGATGTTGTTGAGCTGGCCTTTGTGTTCTCCTAATGGAGGTGGGGTTCAATGTGGGTATATAAAACTTAAAAAGATCCAGTAGAAAGTGCTGCTTTTATGCCTCAGGTATAATCCAAAGCTTGAATTCCTAAAGCAAATTTACTACCCCCCAACAACACCCCCCCCCCCCCCCCCCCCCAAAAAAAAAAAAAAAAAAAAAAATTATTGGACCTTGGCTTCTTAATATTGTGACTTAGAAACCTCTTCAATATAGGTTGGATTGCTAGCTAGGGAGTTCACTGGTTTGCTACAGATGGTTCACGAGAAAATTTTAAAAGATCATTATGCATTTCTTCATTATAAGAGTTGGAAAAGTTGTATGGTCACACCCAAAAACTTTATATCTCAACAGAGGCAGGAGATTTAGTCACTTGGTATAGGAGTGAAAGTCATAAGTTCTTTGTGAAGTTCTACTGAGCCCTAGCTAGATTCGATGGGGATTTCTTAAGGGACTGAATCCATTCAATTTCTGCAAAGGTGGTACTCTCAAGTTCATCAGTAGTTAATGATAAATGTTTTAAAGTGATTAGTTGATTAGTAGAATTTGCAGTAACTGGATATACATGTTCTGTGTATATCCCCTTCTTTATTTTATTTTATTTTATTGAGTGGGTTTGCCGTGGACGGGTTTGAGAGGTTTAATTGGTCACATATTTCCTTATCGTCAAATAGCTTGGGGTTTCGCCTTCACTTAATTTAATTCTGGGTTTCACTAGCTGTGGTATCCTCTGGTTTATGGTCATGGTTTGATTTGTAGGATGCTGATTTAATGCCGGTAATAAGCTAAATTCAGGTGTTTGCAATGGGCCTTCTCTTAATTATTATTATTATTATTATCATTATTATTTATTTATTTATTTTTGTAAATGATTCTGTTCTTCTGGTTGTAAAGTTGAAATTACATTTTTGGCAAGAAAACTTTTCCTTTGGAGGCTTGCAGACTGAAGGGGGTTGGTTTTTTCTCTATTGATTTCTTAGACTCTTCAAGTTGTGATGTTATCATCTCGATACTTGATTCTATACCTCATGTACATGGGCTTTGTTATTATTGTTTTTCTTACTCTTAACAAAGCTTCATTTTTAAAAGAGTTCATTCGAGTTGATATTTTTCACTTCAATTATAGGGATGCTAATATATTATATCCAGCAAAAAGAAAAAGAAAAAAATCCCCCTTCCCCTCCACCACAAAAAAGAAGAAGAAGAAAAACCCTGCTTAATAGTGGTCTATGAATAGTTGAAATTAAAATATATGAAAAAGATTTACTTACCAAAAATTATTACATTAACAGGTAACCCTCCACAAATCTTATAAATAATTTAAATTCGGAATCTTTTAAGCTTTATTTTTTGTTTTGATAGGTGAGCAATGAAAACCACTCTTAGCAATGAGTTTTTGGATCCACTCTTAAGTTTTTAGTTCACTCTGGTAATTCGAAGTTGGTTTTGATTGGTGAGCAATGATGATTCAAGAGAGGAAGCACATACATTTGAGTTGGGCAGTCTAGATCTTATAAAAGTTATTTACTTTGCTATTGTGTTTAGATAAAAGCATTTGGTTCTCAATAATTTTCCTTCATTTGAACAATGGATCATAATCATCGTATGATTGATATAATGGGAACTTTAGGTTTGGTAAAATGGAGGTTTACCTGAACATAAAAACCGTTCTACTAATTTTAATTGTATACTGATATATCTGTGAAATAGAAAACCAACAGATTGAGGTCCGACTAACTTCACTTGGTAACACTTGTTTTTACCCTTTCAACAGTTTTAACTTTTAACTTCCTGATATATTGGGTACGTGATAGTTATTACGCATAAATGATATATTCCTGTTCTTCCTATGTATATATTTGGACACCTTCATTTTCTTTCAACCCTGAATGATAAGGACTTGGGATTACTTCCTTTGATGTCAAGTTCGAGTCCTAGTCTAAACGATATCCTTGATTTGTGGGTGATTGTGGATATCTGGGGTTTACGTTGTATTGAGTCCAAAGGGCGCCTGGTTGGAATGGTTAGTGATTACAAAAAAAAAATATATATATATAATATATACACACACACACACTATGTCCTGGGTTGCATTCTTTCCTTTCTTCATTGTTTATTCTTTCTAACGGCTATAATCTGTCATCTTAGTTTATTATACTGAAGGGCCCGATAAATTTGAAATTTTAGAAACACTTAATATATTTCCACAGAGGGCTTCTGTTAGATATGATTTTATCCTCTTGTAATAATCCGAATGTACTTTCTGTTACTTTGTAGCTGATTGATCAATTTTCTGATTGTTAAATGATTCAAGGTATCCATTGAAAGCTGTTAAAGTGATGCATACTGTGGCTCTAAGGACTGAGTCAAGTTTACCAATCAGCACCACTCCTCCTGGTCAATTAATGGCCTATAAGGTGCGTGCGTATTGATTACAATGAGAAGTCATGGCTTGATTTTTTGTGTTACTTAATTTGGCCTGGACACATGAGTACTGTTCATTAATTTTTGGTTATATTTCCTTTTTTTGAAAATCTGGTTACATTTTCTATGGATGTTCTCTTACAGAGTCATATGAGCAAAATGTTTGCTTTCCACGCAACCACAATGGCAAATACTCTTTCTACTCCCATCATTGTCTTCACAAGAACAGGGTCCATGGCAATACTTTTAAGTCATTATCGGCCTTGCTCGGCAATCTTTGCCTTCACAAATCAGTAAGTCCTGCTAGCAGTATGACATGAATTACAATTTAAAATAATTTTTTATTTTGATCTCTGATATTCTGTTTGGCCTTGATTATGACATTTTTGTTGGTAAGTTATAGATATGGAGTGTTAAACGTTGTAGTATTAGAATGATTGACTAACTGACATGCCTGTGCATTAAATTCGAATTATAATTTCCTGTTCCTTCCTCCTAAGTAACATTTTTGTGAGAACTTGTTTGATTGTTTGATATCTGAATTTGAAACTTGTTCTTGGTGCCTTGTGTAAATTTTTGTCAAGGTTAGTAAAAATATATAATATCCATATTGGTATTAATATGACATTTAAGGTTGTTGTAAAAATGACTTCTCTTAGTTCTCTGGGCAGAAATAACTCATGTATGTCATTTATGGGCAAGCTTGATATTATTTTTCATGTTACCATGAGTTGCGAGATTCTTTTGTTATCGTAAAAGGAACCAATATGAAACCGGACAATGATACAAGACTCCTTGAAATTGCATGTGTTTGGCACGTGAACATATAAAATATCTATAAAAATCATTGTTTCGAGGTAAAAGCTATTTACAGAATTGTGATCCTTCTTCTTTTAGTTGATAGGTACATGTCGTCATGGTTTGAATCGGTGTACCAATTACATAATGGCTACGGTCATGGTGTATTGGTGGTAGTGGAAGTATTGGATAAGGCGTGAAGGGATTTGCTTCTTGATGCTTTCAATTTCTTTATTCATTAGCAAACAACTAAAAAGTCAATAATACGAGGTATCAAAATTTATTTATTTATTTTTTTACCTTGGCAAGAAACTCACACGCACCCACTTTGTCCCTATGGGGACATGAAATCTCGACCTTCTACTTTGGAAGGTGAGGAAGTATCACTAGGTTATAGTCCTTGGTTACAATGTATCTTTATTATGAACAGTAGTATTGCACTAAGGGCCTGTTTGGCAACCGCTTTTGCTTTGTGTTTTGCTTTGACCCGAAGGAGAAGCAATATTTTTGCTTTAGAGTGTGTTCAACACTATTTCGAAGCTTGTTTGGTAACGTAAATTTGTTGTAAGATTTTTGGAAGCAAAAATATGAAAGTGTGTTTGGTAAAAAGTGTTGGAAGTTTGAAAAATTGAATGACTAGTTAAAAATGTCATTTTAGAAAGAAAAAAATATATATATTATTTTTTGAACATTTCTTTTGCTACAGTGCGGAAGCAAACATTAGCATCATTTTTATGCTTCTGATTTTGGCCTCAATTTCAGAAGCGCTTTGGTACTATTCAAATGATAGCAAACGTTACCAAACATGCTTTGTGCTTTTGTTTCGCTACAGTACACTAGAAAAAGCAAAAAATACGAAGCAAAAGCATTAGCCGAACATCCCCTAAGTAATAGAAATGATTACTAAAGGAATATGACAACATATTATAGATCATAAAAAAGTAATAGCCAATTACTTTATACCTTGTTGATTCATGAATTCAATCACTTTACCACCAAAAAATATGGTATACAGGTTCTTTTTAATTCTAAACATTTTAAAAGCGACGATTTATGCGTGGACTTATGAAAAATTTTTGTTGTACAAAGACAAGTAAAACTACTACAACAACCAAGCCTTTCTCCCAACTACCTGGGTCGGCTACATGAATCATGTGTTTCTATTCCGCTCTATTTAAGGCCATAGCCTCAATCGTGATGTATTCCTAGGATTTATGTTCATATAGTCATGACAAAGTTTTACACTGGCTTTCAAGCTACCTAACGTAACCCTCCGTTTTCGTGGCTTGGGACCGGCTGTGTAAATAACACAGTTGGAGTTATTAAAGATGAGTAAAACTAAAGCCCCAAAGTTTTAAAAAACCTTAGATGGCCAATTTGAGCGACGTGATTGCCTAGTTAAAAAAACATTAAGATTTCCGGAAAAATTACAAAGAAGTCCTACTTCTAAAAATATATGACAATCAAATCCTATCAGTGAACAAATCTACTAGAATTTTATTCATAGATAGGACTTGATTCTTTTATAAATATATGACAATCAAATCCAATTAGTGAACAAATCTACTAGAATTTTATTCATTGATAGGTTTTGATGGTCTCATATTTTTGGAAGTAGGACTTCTTTGTATATATATATTTTTTTCCTCCATATTTTATCGTTTAACCCATAACATCAGTATGTACGCTTCCCTTGTGAGTTTGAGAGTAGAACAGATGAAGGGGGCCGAAAAAAAAAAAAAGGCCAGGTTTCGCTAGACATCGTTTTTTAATATTTTTGATGTGTTGGCCTTAATTGTGGATGCCTGTTATACAATTGCTGCATATAATATATCATATAGAAGAAATAGCTACTTCATCGATTCATGACTTCAGTAACTTGACCCCACTGAAAAAATAAAATAAAATAAAATTGGTATGCAGGCTTGTCATAATCCTAATCATTTTAAAAGCGGAGATATGTGTGTGTACTGATGAAATGCAATTTCTTGCTATACCAAGTAAAAAGAAAATAAAAGAGCTAAAGCCAAAAAAGTTAAAACAGTACCTCACATCACTGATTTGATGAAACTGGTAGCCTAGATTTTAAAAATAAAGATTTTATTGTTCTGTACCTCAAATCAGTAGATACACCTCCATCATGTGTTTTGGAGCCCCAGAAGAGATTAGAACTGGAAAAGAGAAAAAAAGGAGCTCTGGTTTAATGGTTTTAACTGGGATGTGCCATTGGCTTGTGAACCTGGTCCCTCTGAGTACTTCTCAATCCGACTCCCTCTCGCTGAAGGAAAAAATAAGTACGAAAAAGAATGTCCTTTTGGTAAAAAGATGAAGTGATTGCCTCAAACAGTTTTTGTAATGTGAAACATTGCTCTAGGTTCAATGATTGTTTGGTAAAAGGATGAAGTGCTTGCCAAAACAGCTTTTGTAACGTGAAACATAGTGATGACATTTAGCATTTTCGACAATTCAAGCTCCTGGAAGATACGGATTTCTGATTAAGCGAGTAGCAGTTGGGTAGCTAGTGACATATTCTCTTATGTTGTGCTTGGTAGGAAGGAACAAAGTCTGTAGGAGGGAAGAGAGGAGGGATGAAGCAGGTTTCCATCCTTTGGTATAAGGAATGGTTGGATGGATGGGAAAAGATGGATGGATGATTCATCCTCTTGGCCAATCCTTTTTCATCCCTCCAAAAGTGGATAGAAAAGAGGAAGGAAGAGAAGGATAAGTATGACATATTACGTTAATTGAGGTTATGACATATTATGTCAATTTTATAATCCATCATCAATTTTTGTAAATTATATAATGAGGGCAGAGTGGTAAAAAAATATATAAAATACCTCCTTCCCTTCCCTCTTACCAAACAATGGAAGGAGTCACCTCCTCCTAATCTCTTCCACTCAACTAAACAAAAAGAGTGGACACCTTCCCTTCCCTAGGATGTCTCATCCATCCTTCTACCTTCCCTTCCACACATTTTTCTATCTTTACAAAATGAAGCATTAATCTGTCAATTCTGTGCATGAATATAGATATAAATGGCAATGGGGGCATGTTTGGTACCAGTTTTTCGACCCCTATCCCAGACAGTGTGGGGGCAGTGAAACAATATGGCAGGATGCGAGTGTTGGGATGAAAGCTACTGTCCAACACAGCAGGAGAAAGGAAAAATGAACTTGATTCATCAACCGGTTTTTGCAATATATTAAAAAAAAAAAAAAAATAGAAAGAAAAAATTATAGACTTCTCTTTTGTCACAGGTTTAGATTTCAAAGCATATCGCATTTAGGTTTTTTAAATTAAAGAACTCCTAAAGAAGGAGACAGAAGCATGATGCTGGAGAGGAGGAGATGAGCAGGATGACAGCAAAAGCTAAAGGACACACCTTTTATGGTGAGTGGTGACTGTAATTCTTTTTTTTCGGGGGGTGGGGTGGTGTTACCTGTCTAGTTATGACATTGCCAGCTGTGCTGCTAATGGACAATAAAGTATCAAAATGATGCTTTCCTTATTCTGGTAGATGATCTTTCCTTTTTTCCCCTTTTAGGAAAATCCTTCAACCTTGAATATTTTTTGTTTGATGAAGGTTTTACTCACGTCTTTATCTTCTTCACAGAAATTACAATACTTGTTGAATCTTATTTTCTTTGCACTAGTTATTTGTGTAGTTGATAATATAATTGTCCTGTTCTATCTGTTTTTATTTTTCATAGACATATTCATGCATTTGCAGAGAAAGGGTTAAGCAGAGGCTGGCTCTCTATCGTGGAGTGATGCCCATATATATGCAGTTTTCAGATGATGTAGAGGAGACATTTTCTCGAGCTCTAAAGCTGTTACTGGTTTGTGATTTTTTTACCAATCTATGTTCTTGTTCATCTCATGTCATTAATTTGTTTAGTGAACCTTTTGTTCTTTGTCAATGTTCTAGAGCAAGGGTCTGATGACGGAGGGAGAGCATGTCACTCTTGTCCAAAGTGGAGCACAACCAATTTGGCGTGAGGAATCTACTCACCATATTCAAGTTCGTAAAATCCAAAGTTGATTTGTGTAGTTGACATTTTGTAAATTTGGAATCATTTTGAGTTGCTAACATCTAAATCGGAGTAATTATTTTCTTTTCGTCATTTTACCTCTGACGATCATGTGATCAGTTCCATTTTTTGACATTGTACATGGTGGAATTTATTGAAAACTGTAAAACTTTATAATAGACTAGTTTTATGTCTCTTAGCATTTTTGAGTATTTGACACTCACCTCATTGTCGTAGTCCTGGTCTAATTTTAAATTTTTGGATCTTTTGCATAAATGATGTTTTGCATATTTTTTGCTACTGTCTTGTCAAATTTTGCAGCTTTAACAGTAAAGCTGTGGGGTTGCATGGCGTGTTTATCGTATAAGTTTGTGTAGGTTGTCTGAAGGGTTCCAAAATAATATAGGGTCACGTGGTGTTTATTAGATTAGAGTGCAACATTCTAGACCCAAAGTGGCCGCCCAGTGTACTGGGATAGCCCTCTAGTGCGACATTCTAGATAGAGATGTCCTGTGCTATTTGGACCGAAATGTTGAACCTACTCCTTTAACCGAACTTACGCGGCTGCCTCAGTGTCCAGTAAATCCAGTTCGTAGGGTCCACATTAGTTTATTAATTACTAAACACAACAACTTCAGTATTTATTCTTGCCAGTCCAGCTTGCAAAGAAAAGTTGCTGATCTCCGTCAGCTGCCAAAGTGGCACTTCCACTGCCATTTATCAGAGCTTGTCGCCAGAGTCGATGAATCTATTCCAATCATTCTTCTCATTTTTTTTTTTTTTCTTTTTTTTAACTAAAATTTAGTTCAATATCTCCTAAATATCAATCTTCATTGTTAGAAAACATTGGCCAAGTTTTTGTTTGGGACTTGTTATTCTTCAACCTCTGTTTTAGTAACCTTTGATGTTGGCCACAATCAGGTTTGGTTGTCAAGACACTCGGTAGAGATTTTCATTTGTAGGTTCCGATTGATCTGACTTATTTCAACATTAATAGTGTTTCCCCTTCTATGGCCATATCTTTAAAATCATATCCCCAAAATTTGTACACACGTATAAATCAAATAAGAAGAAACTTAATGCATGATTGTTTGTGTATAGATTGGCAGAAAGAAATATTGGGATTTACAAATTTGAGTTTGGATTAAAGAATTAGAGTTTGAGGGTTGTAGAGAAAGGAGAGAGAAGAGATTCCCTCTGCAACTCGTTGGATTGAGGGTGTGTTTGGAGTTGATGAAGCAGCAGGTGATAATATTGCTAAAATTGGGTGATGCGTGTTCGTGTAAGAGAGAGGGGTTGGAGCCTGGAGGTGAAGCACAATTAGGGTCAAGGGTAGGATCATTGATCGAGCCTTTGAAGACTTGGACTGAGATCCTGAAGTGAGAGTGAGGAGTTGAACTATAATAATGGTGAAGAAGATGAGCAAGGTGTCATGCCTCGCCTAATTGCAGGGAGGCTGCGTCACATAGGCATCGCGAGCGCTGAGTGGCGTCTGTGGGGCATGAGGAGAGTAGAGTTCTAGAGTCTTCTAGAGTTGTGTAGAAGATTGAGAAGTGATGGAGAGAGTTGGGAGATTCTAATGTTAGAGAGCTTGTGGAGAGTATAGAAGATTTTAGAAGTGTAGGGAGTTTTTGTAGTGTTTAAATATTTGTGTAAGAGAATTTTAGAAGTTGAGATATGTCTATATAAGACAAAGATAAGTCATTTGCAACCAACAGGGTATAGGAGTGAGAGAGACGGTGTGCAAGTCGGGAGGAGTGACGGATGAGAAATATGGATTTTGATGTTATGATGTGGGTCGGTTTACCAATTCCGGGTTCGGCAACAATAACAACTATCCTCTAAAAAACAAGTTTTAAACGACTTCAACCTTAGTTTGAGATATTATTTAAATAAAAGTAAATTTATTGTACAATCCAAACTTTGAATGAAGGACTATTTTATTTTATTTAAGGACTATTTTATTTTATTTTATTTTATTTTTGTTCGACTTCTACTATTTTCGGTTGGTGGCTAGCATTGGAATTGAAGGATGAATGGCAATCATTGGAATTGAAGGATGAATGGCAATCGTGACCCACCTTTTTTCCAAGTGAAGTTAGAGAGCTCCCTCCCTTCCTTCTGCTCCCTTCCCTTAACAAAAAAAAAAAAAAAAAACTTCATTTTGGACTTTTCATTTTCGTCATCCATCTTTCTTTCATTTCCTTCCAATAGTTTTGTTCATCTTCTTAAGGAAAGGAACAGCGTGCAAGAGAGTAGCTCGAACTATTCATAGATGTGTCATCGGTTACAAGAGATCCAATCATTCACGTTCAACTCCAAACCCCATCATTCACATGTTTATTCTATACCCATCAAACAATAATAAGGTTGCAAAAGAACCGAAAATGAGAACCCATCGCCTGGACAACCTTTGATGGACTAACTGCTTTGTGGCACTGTTGAAAAAGGGATGCAAGAGATTTGAACAGAGTATATGCAGAACAGGAGCAACCTCGTAGCACTTGTATATTCTGGCCTCACAAGCTCTTAACATGACCATATCCATGTTTGGTCATATACGTCAAACTCCAATGCCATTTTTCCCACTATTTTCGTCGTACTTTCCTTCAAGCTTGATACTCTTATACCACTTGGCACACGCGATGTGCACCACTAAATCTATAGTTGTCAAACCAGCTAAGAGGAAGTAGAACCTATCTAGGTGACCCTTGTTTAGATTTTTCGGTATCCATCCTGGCATGTTGTCTGTGGTTGAAATTTTCATTACAATGCTCACGAGCAAGCTACTCACATAGTTCCCCAGTGAAATCGATGTCATGCAGAGAGCGCTTCCAAAGCTCTTCAACCCATCCGGTGCCTGTGCATTGAAGAACTCCAGTTGTCCAACATACATGAAAACTTCAGAAGCTCCTATGAAAGCATACTGAGGGACTTGCCAGAATATGCTCAGCGAGCTTGAGCCTTCACAATGTAAGCAATCTTTTCGAGCATACTTGAGTCTGTAGCACTCCACGATTCCAGCTGAAAACATTGCCATTACTGCTATGACTAATCCAATTCCCATCCTCTGAAGCTCGGTAAGCCCTTTAGTATCCTTCCTTTTCATTTTGCTAACAAGCGGATTTAATACTCGCTGGTAAAGGAAGATGAAAACTGCTACACTGAGGATGTCAAAACTAGACATGCTGGCAGCTGGGATTTGAAAGTTTGAAATCGTAGTTTTCATGGCTGCACCTTGCTCCACAAAGAGTGATGCCATTTGGGTAAAGACAACTGAATAAATTATGGTGCATAGCCAAATTGGTAGTAGTCTCAATATGCATTTCACCTCTTCAACTTGTGAGATGGGGCAGAGACGCCACGGGCTGTGAACAGGACCCTGCTTCTGGTCCTCGAAATCCTTTGATGTAATAAAGGCCGCTCTATCCAGGAATCTGAGACGTGTGAAAATGAGTTAGCATAGTTGCATAGAAAAGGTCTTACATATGCAGGACATTTAGATCTTCTTGGTTGGGCTTTAGTTCATCGTAGTTGGTTAGTGACCGCATTTCAAGATCAAGATTGACAACTGAAAACAAGGGAAACCAGGTTGATTGAAATTTGAAATTGTATATATTTGATCCGACAGGGTGGAATTGGATTGTGGAACACAATAGTGGAATGGATTATATTGAAGGTTACTATGATCATGCTTTTTGACTTACTTGAACCCATGGGTGTGAAGTATCTTTCTGGTACCATTCATGGAACTCTCCTTTCCATTCATTTCAAATAGGTTCTCTTCACCTGGTGGAATCTCTTCCCTCCATTTATTTGCCGCGGCGACTATAACTTGGCAGAATCTGGAAAGAGGGTTGCCACTTGGCTTGAAATGCCTGTACTTTGGGGTTCCACCAAGAAACAAGATTAATGCTGCAAATGCAGATGTAGTCGAGAGCCAAAACCCTAGTGCCCACATCCCTTGGTCCTCAAAGTAGCTCAGTACGGTGTTGGAGAAGAGAGAACCAAGGTTCAGAGCTAGGTAGAAGAAGCTGAAAAAGGCCACCTTTGAAAGTCCCTCCTTAGGGTCTTCTTCATCAAACTGATCAGCTCCGAATGTAGCAATATTCGGTTGGTACCCTCCATTTCCTAGAGCAATCAAGTAGATGGAGATATAGAATATCCCAATCTCCCAGCTCGAATGGGACTCACATTGAGTCGTTCGATTGCCACAACCTCTAGGATTCATCAGAAAAAGTTGTGATGATAGGGACAGCGATGCCAAACCCTGTTATGATCAGATGCACATAGTACAATTAGACTGCAATAAGAACAAGACCAATATTTCTTTATGCGTCAGTTTTTCCCATATAAAATCACAAAAAGAAGAGCGCATACAATCCCTTCATTGCAAACTTCATATTGATATTACTTTGAGTCAATATGTTCATGCCATTGAACCGAGCGATAGTACAGAAAAAAGGAATAACAGAGGAGTGAAAATGTGAGTACTTACAATGACAAAGATCACTTGAAAGATGGCGCAAGTTTTGTATCTTCCCCAGTAGGAGTCACTGAGGAAAGCTCCTACCAGGGAGAAGATGTAGACAGTACCGGTCCATTTGCTAACGTTATTAGCAGCATCAGCATTGTTCTGTTGCAACACCCTTGTCAAGAACAGCACCAAGTTCACTCCGACGCCAAAGAATGCTAGAGTAGCTAGACCTTGATTCACTAGTTGATTCATCAAGCAAAACAGAGAGTGAATAGAGAGTTAAGAGGCTTGATTTTGCTAGTGAGCTTTTCCGGACAAGTAACATTAAACTAAAAGATCTCCAAGTGTGTGCAACAATGGAATTTTGCCAAAAGAATATGAGATTGAAACTAGAATTAATCAATCACCATCAAAGTAATCAGTTATTTAGCAAGTGTGGTCTATATAAGGCTTCATTTGGATGGAGGATTTAAAATGAATTGGATTTATATTCAATCACCACCAAGACATGTGATTCAGTGGGTTCTGTACTGCTTTCAAAATAAAGATAAAAGGGTTTTGACTTTTGAGTCTCTACCATTGTGAAAGTTCTTTGCCACCATATCCAATGGTATATTTTACATAATTAACAGTCAATAATATTCATTATTGTTATTATTTTTTCTGATGCTCACACATCCACATTTCTATGAAGACTTTGAACCCTCAATACTTTATTTAAAACATTAGGAATACTACTGTACTATATAGCCCTTGCTAGTAAATAATAATATGGATCATTTTAAGCTTTTAAAAATAAAAAATAACCTTTTTATTTTTTTTTTAATTTTTAGTAATGATAGTTACACGGATTTGTTGGGCAGAATGACGTGACAGTCTGGCTGACTGAGAACGTAACATGATTTTTTATTAATCTAATTATTCACTTTTACGGTTCACCATTCCATCCCTAATTTCAGAAACCTTCCGGCGTCTCCAATTTCTTAGATGAAGATCGTGTTTTTTTTTTTTCCCTCTTATTTGACGCGATCCGCAACAACTCTAAATGTTTTGACAATCTACAACAAGCTTTTGACGATTTGCAGAGTACCTTTGGTAAATCAAATATATATGTATATATCAATCTGCCTGTATATGTATATGTTGCTGCAATTTTTATTTTATTTTTAGAGTTCAATACCAATGTCAATCCATTGAATAGAGATTGATTAAGATGACTAGTGCTGATCAAACAATTCCATCTAAATATATATATCTGATTTATCAGAGATATTCAATAGTTCCAAATCGTCAAAAAGCTGCAAATCATCAAAAGCTTGTTATAGATTGTCAAAACATTTGGAGTTGTTACAGATCACGTCGAATCGGAGGAAAAAAAAAACTCAAGAAATTGAGGATGATGAGAGAAACTTCGTTTGAGAAATTGGGGACGGCGGAGAAGTTTTTGAAATTAGGGATGGAATGGGATGGTGAACAGTAAAAGTGAATAATTAGATTAGTAAAAAATTACGTTAAATAACGTTTCTGCCAATTAGATTGACACATCATTTTGTCCAACAAATCAGTGCATGGCTTCGGTGTAACTATCATTACTTTTTTTTTTTAATAAGTAAATGAAAAGAATTTTTTCATTAAAAAAATAGAAAAAGAAGGTGTAATGTTTTTAACTTTATGTATATATATATATATATATATATATATATATATATATATGTTAAAGTTAAATAAAATTTTAATTCACCTGTGGGGCCCACATGATTTGTAAGCCAATATTATTACCTTTTTCTTCTTCTCTGCGCATCACGTTCTCTCTCATTCTAAAAGCTCTCTGGATTTTTTTTTTTTTTTTTTTATGGTTTCAACTTCAATCTTTGATTCCATCTTCATTACTTGCCAGATTTAGGTGCCGTTTGAGGCAAAACGACGAGTGTGACGAGCTCTACGCGTTGATGCAAGCAATTTCCAGTTTTGAGCCTTCTTTGGAACTCGAAAATTTAAACCCATTTCTAGGGTTTTGCCTATTTTGAGGTAGGGGCATCTTAATCCACTCTAGTCTTGTTCTATTGTGAATTTTACCTCCATGTTGTATTAAATATGCTTAATTTAGAGTTAATTATATCTATGATGGTATTAATGATGTCTAGAGGGTTTTTCACGATCTTGAATATGGTTGGTTCATGTGCAAATTATATTTAGTTGTTGATTTCCTATGTTTACTATGTGCTAGTATGCTGAAATTGATGAATGAGAGTATGCTTATTTAAATTGCGCCAAATTTCCCAATTCATGATGTTGAGCTCATATATATATATACATGCACATGCTTAAATGTATTTTGTTGTATCTTAATGTGTTAATAATTACTTGGGAGATGTTGAACATGTTGAATGTTTAATTTTATGATGGAAAATTTTAAATACCATGATATTGAATGTATGGAACATATATACATGCACATACCATTGGGTTTGCATGAAATGGGAGAAATTATTTTTGAAATAAATATGGGGAATTCCAGAGAAGTGTTTTTGATAAAATGGTTTTATGCGAAACCCGGTCGCTGCGGGGTTACCAACGGGTCGGAGGTTAATATAGCCTAGAGGGGACTAGGGAGTCGCCCTAGCGTGGTTGAGCTAGCTGGGCCCCATAATGACGCCGCGGGGTTACCAAGGGTCAAGGACACTAGCTAATCCTCCTTTCGCGTCGCGGCGGGGTTACCAAAGGGCGGGCTGTATTAACGTTTGAAAGTGATGATTTTGAGAATGAAAATGGGGAGTGTCATTGACATGCATTGCATTTCATTTCATTGCATTGCATTGTTTATACTTGGAATTGACTTGTATGTTATATTTGATCCCCTACGTTGTATGATCCCTATCTCTCATTATTTTTGCAAAGCACTAAAAGTGTGAAGGTGTATATGTATATTTTGTAAAACTTTGTTATGTAATGTAATTAAGGTATTTGATGATAATTTGAATGTGAATTTGATAACATGTAAACCTTATTGATGCATGGGGAGAGTAATACTAGTTTGAGGTATTATCGAGGTCATTTGATTATGTATTATCATCTACTATTGCCGTGAATTCGGAATTTGAGCTGTGACATGTTAAAAATGCAATTAAACAGGTTGTGATAGGCCTATTTTTAGGGGAGGTTATGCTGAATTTTTTTTGTTTAAAAAATATTAGTTTTGAGACGTTATAGAAGGACATTATTCCAAATGAAGATTTGAGAAACCAAGGGTTGTGCATTATATTTCGAGAAAAAGAAAAAAAAAAAAAATGAGAAATGAGAACTCAAAATAGACCCAACACTAGTAGTAAATAAAATGATAAAAGTTCTGAATATTATAATAGTTTACTTGTGTGTGATTCATTGATTTAAACAGCCTGAGAAAGAAAGAAAAAATAAAAAATAAATGAACCGAGTAACGTGTGTAGTACTAGTGACCACTGTCCCAAAAATGTCCTGTTTTTTTGTGAGTCGACAAGTGACACCGAAACCAGAGTAGTACTGATGACAAAAGGAACACAGAAATTAATGGGGTTTTCTATAGAACTAGGAAGAAAAAAAAATTGGTGTTTTCTAAAGCCACGTGTCAAACAATGCTGTGTCCACACAACCGTTGATCACATAGTGCGTGTCATGCAGACTATTGATCACTTATTACGTGTCAGACACTCTCTCTTTCTCTCCATGCAGACACACACACATATAGATAGCCGCATTTAAAGTTTTAAACGACCGTATTAGATGCAACAACCTTCCAACACTTGCTATACTTTTGACCACTAAATTTACTCTACGCATATTGTCTTTCTGGTACCATATTAAAAGTCTACTTTAAAAGCTGTAATTCACAATTTAAATATATGAATATAGGACATTTTTTTTTGCTAAAAAAAAATAAGAGGACATTTTTCAAAAAAATAATTACTCATTAAAACCTAAAAATTAGTAAAAACTATCTTTGACAAACATCACAAACCTCTTTTTTTTTTTTTTTGTGTGTGTGTGTGATATTTTTTAGAGAAAAAAAAAAAGAAAGAAAGAAAGAAAAAAGATTATATTTTTCAAGCTCAACATAGGTGCAAGAAGTTCAGAAAGTGAGTGAAAAAAAAAAAAAAAAAAAAAAAAAACTTAAATTTGGAACATTTTTTAAAAGTATTTGTGCAACACTAAAGGGGACACACCTGAGGGACAGCTAGAGCATTTTAAAAGTCTGAATTTCTTGAAAAATTGATGGTCTATTAACTTTTGAATTAGAATTATATATATATGAGCTTTATATAATTTTTGAAAGTATAGTGAAAAATGATCAAGTTAAATGCTGTAATGAAATAAATGAAGTAAATAGAAAAGAATGTATAAACTATATATGTATAAGCACACAAATGATCGATAGACAGTGTATCATATCTTACAAAAATAATTTATGCAGATAACTAGACTATGATATCAAGATTTTTATCATTTCCATTTTCTGGTAATTTTGATTTGAGAGACAAAGTGGGCTTACACAATATCACAATTCCGGCGCCCCATTGTCCGCTTTTTTCTCGGATTGCGGGTCGCCCATCCATATCAACACTTCCATCAAGAGTACATATTTCTTCCTCTTCTTCTCTCAAGTTAGCCTGAAAAAACACACACACAAATCTTTTTGGTAAAAAGATTAAAATATAAATTGTTACACTACAGATATTTAATAGTACTATTACATGCATAAATTCATATGGACATGCATGCCATGCCACAAATGAGGCTAGAGAGAGAGAAATATATAGTAACTGTGCTTTATGACAATTCTTTTTAGAGTGAGAAGATAAAGAATGGTACCTCATTGGAAATTAGGTCTAAGCAAGCCATGGATGATGATATATATGAAGAGATAATTAATTGGAATATATATATATATTATAATGATGGAGAAAAGAAGGGAAACAAGTTGGGAAACAAGTGAAGGGAGGGAGGGGTTCATATATAGTGGTGGTGGGGAGTGACATGGACGGTGGACATTAATTTAACATGAAAGTTGGACACTCAGAATCAAGATATATTGACAAATATATAATACATAATAATAGTGTAGTGATAGATGTAGTAGAATAGGTACAAATTGTTTGGACATTTAAAGGGATGATAGGAAAGTTATATTCTTTTTGCATGTGTAATTTGTTGAAGAGCTTAATTAACCTACCTCTCTATTATATCCACATTTTTTCTCATTGTATTGCTTTGATTTTGACTCTAATGGAATACTTTAACGGGTCAGAGTTTTGCGGTTAAACTCAAAAGTAATAGAATTAATATTCAACCCATATATATTAATTACAATTCTCATCTGGATTCAATGTGGGACAAGTCTCACTTGTAACATTCACCCCATCCGAATTCACAACGTCCTCATTATGATCGGGTCACCCTGCTTACCCGAGGAGGCACACCTGGACTCTTTCGGGCCGAACACTTGGTGTGATACCGGATCAAGAACTGAATCTGATTCTGATACCAACTGTAACGGGTCAGGTGCTTTGCGGTTCAATTCAAAAACTTAAGCTGTTGGGTAGAGCTAACACTATTGCAATTTTCATTCGGTTCCGACGTGTGACAAGTCTCACTTGTGACTTGTGACAAATAGTCATGGAGAAAAACTCTTACTTCACATTATGAAGGTCGGATGTGGTGAATTATGGAATGCCTGATACAACCAAAAAAAAAAAAAAAAAGGGGGTATGAAGTAGGTGTGAACTCACATAGGAATAAGGAGGTGATTCTAGTGATAATAGAAGCTAACTTATAGAATAAATTGGTTAATAATTATATTCTATGCCTGAATTTTGCTTCCCATATTGTTTACTTTCTCGTCAATTATATATTATGGAAGACAAGATTCCATAATTATTATCGCTTTGATTTGATGACACAATAGTGTTCATTTTTTTCCTCCCATTTGTGGAAAAGATTGCTTAATGCACTTCTTTTATGGATTATATACCTCAAATTGCCAACGCATATCTCAGTATCACACACATTGGAATATGCTAAATTACTATTTAATTTCCTCCACTCTTAACATTAAAAAAACGATAATTTAACAATAAAAATAAAATATCATTCCTAGCCATGAAAAATAGTATCTCCAATATAATCTTTATATACGGAATAAGTACTGCAAAAAATGTAAATAAAACAAATAATTTTTGGATATACGGAGGTTACCCGTTTGAAACTAGAAACAATCTTTTGATATGCAAATTAACTTTCTTCAACGCTCTATTATATATCTATTAACCCTATAGCAACTCGGTTTATTGTTAAATTCGTGTATTAGAATAATTGAATATATTTTTTTTTTCATAAGTGCGTTTGAATGATATGATCTCTCTTCGAAAGAGATTGAGAGTTCAAGTCCCAGCTTAGACGGCATTGCCCTTACTTGAACTTTTAATTTTTTTAAAAGATTACGACCGTGAAGCATGGGCCAAACAGGAAATTCCAAAAAAACATTGTTCCATCTAACAAGAGCGGGTTCCTCCAACTTTGCATAGAGGAAGTGAACAATATCATAAAAAATAAATAAATAATAAATTATAATTTTTTAAAAAAAATTCCAAAAAAATATCATAAACCAAATCTAAGTAATAACAGCAATTCCGACATAAAGCAAGCTAATTGCAGGATTTAATTGCAAATTATATGCTTAACTTCATTGTTACGGTTCATAACTAGATTGTGAAATGCGTTTGTTCTTATTCAGTACCTTGCAATGACTTATGTACACTAGTGACCCCAATACCCAATTTGGATTTTCTTACGCATGCGCGCGCGCGCGCACACACACACACACATGAATGCGTATTACATGCTTAAATGTCATCTGGATTCTTCTAAATGAAACAAATACCTAATTAATTAACCAACTGTGCCCATATTTCCAATAGTTAGTTTCTCAGTATTTATATAATATGAAGTCCATACTAATGAGTCAGATTGCACTCATTTGCTATACAAAAATCAGTATTTGTATGGTAGGTTTGAAATTAATTTTGAACTTAATTCCATGTTTACAGTCACACCTAGAGAGGCTCATTGGTTGATCTTTTGGTGGTTACCCAACTAAGGAAACAAATTACTATAATTAGATGCTTATCGATTTGATTAGGTCATTCTCATACATTAGTCAAAAGCACAGTTTGATTTTTTTTGCTGTTGGGATCTTCATATTCAAATTCACTTATCAATACATCAATCTATTTATATAGGTTAGTTTTTTCTTTTGTGTGGTCTTATTTGTAAAGATAATGACACTATTACCAGAAGCCTAATTAGCCCATTAAATTTAATCTTTTTGGGTAATTTAGGACCACAAATTTATCTGGGAATACCTTCCTCAATATTCTTAGGTTTTTTCAGTTAGGGCATGGACAATGAGAGGCTAGGTAACCATGTTATCCCATGTGTACAATCACTTGGGGGAGATAGTGGAGTTATTTAATTATTTTTGTAGGACTCTTATATCGTCCGGAGGAAAGATTGTTGGCAGAGTTGTATGTGTAGACATTTTTTAACCGTGTAAACGCTCTTTAAGAAAATCGTGAGTACCGATAGAAGTGTATGCAAAATGGAAAATATCTAGACGGTGTGAACATGTCGTGATAAATGGTATCAAAATCAATCCCTATTAAGTCTTAAGAGGAGGTTTACCGTGCAAAACGTACAGGTTGACATTTTTGATTCCCACAAATAACACACACTCGCATACTTAGATCTTGAATTAAAGGACTTGAACCATGATCTTTCATTTAGAAAGTAAGAAAGTACTGCAAATCTTGGCTGCAGTGATGCACTAAAAAATTGTGCATGTCATGTTTGATGAGCAAATCTTATTCTGGATAGAGATAAAAATATATAAAGGAATCATTGTGAACATTTTTTATTTGACAAATATTAAAAGAGAAAAGATGACTTGTCTTGTACAACAATATATATATACACGGACTTTTTTAGCCAGCAACTAATGGAGATAGGAATTTAGATGTCCCTAAAGGACTATCGTCATTTCATTTAGGTCATCACTGCACTGGCAAATACTGGAAACAGTTGTGTTTTATTTAAATTTGATTGATCTTAAACCTCTTTTGTGTATCCATATCTTCCTTTTTAAGTACAAGATTATGAAGTGGAAGACTTATCCCCATTGTGAAAGTTCACTGAATTTGAAGACTTATCCCCATTGTGAAAGTTCACTGAATTTGAATTTAGGTCAAGATGGGACCCATTCAACAAGTGTTGTGACTAAGAGCCACATTTGGAACAGTCACTATTGTTTGAAACTACTCACATAATATCATACTACTTTCGTTCCAAATTAAATATTCTGTTTCGAGAACCGTAACTTACAAATTATGAGTCACGATTCCCCAAATAAGATATCTTTTTTGAAAAAGAGGGAATATATATTATATATTAATTGAATTAAATACACTTGATAAGATTTCTAACACTAGTTCATATAGACACATTGGATTAGTTTTGTCAATATTGGCTAAATATTCCAAAAAAAAAAAAAAAAACTAATTTTCAGATTAATTAGACTGTCTAAATTAACAATTAACTCAAGTAAAGTCACTTCTTGAAAACACACCTAACATTTGATCCACATACATCGTTTAGAAATTTAAATTTAGTGGAAAAGAGAAAAATTGTCTTAAATTTTGAGTGAAGTGAAATACCAATGGAATGTGTGTGTGTGTTTTGTGGTCTGAATTATATAGAGAGAGTACTATTTTTCCCTTTTATTGAGCTTAAGATTTTAATTAAGTTGCATTTATTATCATTTGGCATGATAATATTGTAACAAAACATATATATCCACAAAATATATATATGTTTGTGGTCGATCTATAACTAGTTCAACAGCATAAGTGTTTTGCTATAAATCATACACATTTCTATGAAGTATCATATTTGTGTTAGACACTGACACTCGTCGAACACACATCAAATACGTGTCCGACACTTCATATATGTACTCGTAAATAAAAATAATTTTTTATTATCTTGGACGTTTTTTCAACACTTCTTGGACACTTAATTAACACTTTCAAACATTTCTAACACAAGAATATCTCCAGTAATTTTGAAAATAATATGAACACATTCTAAAGTGTTCAACTTTTTTTTATAAGAAAAATTGACATTATACACATATAATCACAAGTACATCATTAAATGATATTTGTGTTCGTGTGTGTGCACGCGCGTGTGTGTATGATATATAAATGTTACTATAACTCCGAGTATAAAAATAAGAAATGAATTAAAGTTTTAAAATATTATTACTCAATACATGTATTTAAATAAAAAAATATACATATAGCAGTATTCGTGTCTTATTTTTTAAAAAATTTGGCGTATCAACGTATCCGTGTCGTATCGTATTCGTATCCCGTGTCTGTATCGTATCCGTGTCTATTTTTCTTTTTCTTTTGTAGTTTTGAGTCGATGAATTATATTTCATACAAAAATTGCAATTTTATATTTAATAATTTAAATTATATACTCCATCGGTCTCAAATTAAATGTTCTTTTTCAGGAAGAGGATGGGTATTAATATTTTTTTTATTGTATTGATAGTGAATGAATTACCAAATATGTCTACACATACAACAAAAAAAAAAAAAAATTTATATTTTTAATAATTCAAATTATTTCAATGTAAGAAGGTTAAATTTGTAATGTTATAAAAAAATAATAATAATAATACGTTGACTTTCTAAATGTGACATTTATTTTGAGACTGCAAAAAATGAAAAGATGGACATATAATTTAAGTCGGGATAATATATAATACAAACACATGTGATATGTGGGCCACAAACCTTGGCGGAAAAGTGGTCATCAAGATTCATAAAGCCTAGTGGGCCAGCCCAGACCACTCAGCGAACGCCCGAGGTATCAAACTAGGTTGGGCAAAAATTTGCAAACCCAAATCC